AGCAAGGACAGCCTGGCCTTACAGGATGCTGGACACCACCCCACACGAAGATGCCCTCCGGCCTTTAAGAGTGTTTTTGGGAGTACGCTGCTCCCAGGATGGTGAATTGATCCTTCTCCCCGTTCCCCAAGCATTTGCATGTTGCTGTAACACAGCTATAAAACCACCAAGCACTGAGCTGCTGTGGGAGCACAGAAGACCCACAGGACTGAGCTTTTTCCCTGTTCAGATGGGTCATCCCTCTGTCCCACTGTGGCATTTCCTAGGATGGCAACTGCCTTTTCCCACTTGCTCCCCACATCCCTCTCCTCACCCAACCAACCAGGACAAGCAATATCCCTTCCTGCACTGAACATGATAAAAACAAAGGGGTTTTCCCTCCTTTTTTCTCCAGTAGCACTTGCAAAAGCACTTGCAGAACCGCTGTGGAAGAGCCGCTGGAGCCAAGGGGGAAAAGAGCCCATTCCCACAGGACAGCCCGACCACCAACGTCGTGGCTGATGCAAGCACGGGCAAGAGCTCCCCTGACGTCACCCGTGTCCTCTGGAGCTGGGACAGTGCCCAGATGGGCCAGGACAAGCAGGGAAGGCTGAAGGCATGGCTGGAGCACAGCCTGAGCGCTGAGTTGCTACTCCAGGCTTGCACCAGGGAGCAGGAATGGTGTCCGGCACAGCCAGCATCATCCTGGAAATTCGGGATTCAGCCCCTGCCACAAAACTCCAGCCTGGCTGCAAAACCACCCAGTCTCAACCATAGAAGTTTTAATTAAAAGTTATATCCAAATGCCTTGTTTTACAAAGGGATTTTCATCCACTCCTAATGCTGTTCTTCCTTTCTCCCCCTCCCATGCAATTTTTTTCATTTTTCCTCCCTCTGCTTGAAAATGAAATCAAGCAGAAAATAAAAGCCAGCCCCAAATTCCCTAGGTGGGAATACAGAACTGATATCTCCTCCGGCACTGTGAGGGGGAAGAGCAAGTCCTGAAGGATTTGGTGCCCTTTCCTGGAATGCAGCAAGAGGAAATTTGCAGGGGAGAGCCTAAGCAGGAGATACTCCAGCCTGCTTGAAATGCTTCCCAAGCCATCCCCGGGGCTGGTATGCCGGGAATGTGGCTGGCTGGAAGGGATGCACCAGGCTGCAGCCAGAAAAGGGAAGGGAGAACTTGTGTGCAAACATTTCCCCTTCCAGGAGAGCCTCCTGTTGGGTCCTGCTGAGAGCAATCCAAGGGGAAAGGGTTTGGTGGGGAATAAACACAGTGAAACCAGGCTTTGAGTCAAGGCTGAGCTTAGCAGTGCTGGGACAGGTAAGAGAGGGGACCTGGGGCAAAACAAAGGAATAACCAGCAGGAAGCTCCAGCAGGAAGCAAGGAAGGGAGGAATGATGCTTCTCTTGGCTGGCACCCTTCACCACCTACCCAGTTTCCCATTCATGCCAATTGGGATTGCAGCTTTCTAGGGGGCATGGAAAGACCCCAAACACAACAGTGCCTCCCTCTAGAGACCCCACACCTCCCCAGTTTTGGTGATTCTTGCACACGATCTTGTTAAAAAAATAAATAAATAAAATCAAAAATCCCAAAATTCCCCCCTGCTCAGGCAGCATTGCACAAAGTAGGAAAAAACCAAGTGCAAGCCAGGAATATGTTTTGAAACACCTGCCTGCTGGTCCAGCATCAAATGAATTTTATATTAATTATGGCAGCTACAGCCCTGACAGCTCTCACTGACATATCCACAAGCCTGGAATTTGCAGGGATGCTCCCCCTCCCTCTATTTATATAATGAGATGGGAAGCTTCCTGCTAAAGGCCTCTGACAGATGTGGCTGTGTGGAGAAACAGCTGTAAATCCCCTCTGCATCGAACCCTGAGGCCCCAAAAGGCAGTGGGAATCTACACACAAAAATGAGGGATAATGTGGAAAGGTATTTCCTCTCCTGATAGCAGCATCCTGGATCTCTGCCTGCCCCTCCTGGGTCCCTGCCTGTCCCTCCTGGATCTCTGCCTGCCCCTCCTGGATCTCTGCCTGCCCCTCCTGGATCTAGGGATGCACACACACACTCTGAAGGATGGGGGCCAGGCCCCCCACGGCTGAATTTGGGATGGGAGCCCTGTTTTGGAGCTGGGGATGGACCCAAACTCTTTCTGAAGGCAGGGGGAACCAGCAAACCCTCCAATTCAGGCTGTGTGAGGAGGATAAAAGGGGCAAGTGGGAGGAAACAAAGGGTGGAAGGGGCAAGATTTGTTTAGAAATCACTGACACAATGGTCAGCAAACTCCTCTGAAAGACTTGCTTTAAATTTAGCCTGGGGTTAAATATAGACCAGGGAAAAACCCAGCCCCATCTGTTTACCCAAAGCCACAAACAGCATCCTAAATGAATGGTGGGGGGAAGGAAACCAGTGGGCGACCAGCTCGTCCTGCAGCTTCTCAAAGGCACCCACACCTGCTTTTCACACTGGTTTTTCCCCTCCTGCGAGGCACAGGGAATGCTGCAGGGTCAAACCCAACCCTTCGAGCCAGAAACCTTTTCCTAAAATCCAACCTAAACATCCCCTGGCACAGCTCCAGCTGCTCCCTCAGGTCCCACCAGCGGCAGGTCTCGGGCAGGTGACAGTGTCACATCTATTAAAAAACCCCACTTATTAAAACTTAGCTAAAAACTAAAGCCAAAGGTCGCTTTTCCTGCAGCACTTGAACACACAGCACTCAGCACCCCGGCATTTCCCAGCATGCAGCAGCGTGGAAAAGGTTAAAAATAACTTTTTCAAAACGTCTGGTACCACTTACCCCAGAAATGCAACTGCAGGCCTGGGGGAGCCCCCTGGGACCTCCTGGCACAGGCAGACCCCAGCACTCCCAGCTCCATCCATCATTCCAAGCTCATCTGATGGGATTATGGGATGGACCCACCTCTGGCCAGATCAATCAAAGACACACCACGGGCACCCAGCTGTGCTGGACAGGGAAAAGCAATCCCAGGAAAAATACCAAAAGCACTTCCTGGAGCAAAGAAATGCAATAAAACCATGGGAACACCCAAAAGTGCACAGCCCGAGGGTGGGGAGCAGGATCTGCTGCTGGCCAAGGGTGGGAGAAAACCCCTCCAGGAGCCTCGGGGAGGGAAAATCCCTGTCTGCCAAGAATTTGGGCTGATAAAAGCCAGGAGGGCTGGGCAGTACCAAGGGTTGGATATCACCAAGCACCCTGGAGATGGAGCCAGGTCCTTCCAGGTCCAGCCTAGGAGCTGCCACCAGCAAAGGGAGCAGTGTCCATCCTTGCCCATCCCACATTCCCAGCCCTCCCTGGAGCTGCAGGGTCCATCCCATCAGGCACATCCGTGTCTGTGGGAAGCACAAGGAACAGGAGCCATCATGACACAAGACTGGTCAGCTCTGCCATAACTACCACCCTGCACCTCTGTTTTCCCTGGAAAATCCATTAAAAGCCTCTCAAGACTGCGGTGCAAGCTCAGGGAAAGCCTCCCACCTTTCCCTTGGCCACAAATTGAATACTGGGAAAAAAAGAAGGAGCTTCTAATCAATTCCTCATCATCCTCTCCCCATGCCAGAGCCAAGATCAACTCCAGGCACTTGTTGCTTTATGGCTTTTAATTTGCTTTTTCTTTGTCCAAAATCGAGTTCCTCTGGCTCTCCTACAAACATAAAAGTGTTTTTGGAGGTTTCTTTTAAAAACAGTCGGCTTTGCTTGGTATGAGCACATTGAAATTTTTTCTAGGGAGGAATTCATGTCCCAGAGCCACAGCACTCCCCACAACACTCGTCCCACACAATGAATTTACTGAAAACGTTGCTTTTATCAGTCACAAGACCCCAAGTAACTCAAATCTGTGGAATCAGATGCAGACAAGACCCCTCCACACCCCAGCCCTGAGGGAGCTGCTCAGGGAGTGCCAGGTGACACCAATCCACTGCAAGGTGCAAGGGCCTACAAAAGAGAAGCTGTAAAAAGCCCCAAAGCTACCAAAACTGCCAAATTTTAGCAGAAAATCTGATTTAGGAACTTGGTTTTGCCCTGTGAATCCTTCACCTTTCAAGATCTCCCTCATGGCTGTGACACAACAGAAAGCTTGGCACGCTCCCCCTCAGTGGAAAATGATCCCAGCACCTTGAGAAATGCCTGCTTTTCCCATCCTTGTCCTGAGAGATCTTCAGGCAGGTGGGAAGACACGGAACTGGACACACCAGCACAGCCCAGCTCCTCTGCATCCCATCCTACAAGGCTGGGATGGCTTTGGGAGCAGCTGGTGGCAAGGACTAATGAGCCTGTGGCCCGTGTCCCGTTGATGCAGGTCTCTCCCACGAGCCTTGCTGGTGGGGATGGGTGGGGAAGAGTTGGCTGCTGTTGAGTTTTTCCCCTCAGCAGCCCAGCCCAAGCATTCCCCAGGTCTGATGCCAGCTGTGCTGTGTATCCCGGTGATTCCTGACCCCGCTGCCTCGCTCTTATCTCCTCCTCCTTCACCGCTTGTGCTTGCCAAGCCAACGCTTTCATCTTCCAAAGAAAAAAAAACAAAAAAAACCAAAAAAAACCCCCCCCAAAAAAAAACC